AAACCCAGTCTATTGAACATTTCTGACCAGTAAAGCCCAGTCTATTGAACAATTCTGACCAGTAAAGCCCAGTCTATTGAACAATTCTGACCAGTAAAGCCCAGTCTATTGAACAATTCTGACCAGTAAAGCCCAGTCTATTGAACAATTCTGACCAGTAAAGCCCAGTCTATTGAACAATTCTGACCAGTAAAGCCCAGTCTATTGAACAATTCTGACCAGTAAAGCCCAGTCTATTGAACAATTCTGACCAGTAAAGCCCAGTCTATTGAACAATTCTGACCAGTAAAGCCCAGTCTATTGTCAATTCTGACCAGTAAAACCCAGTCTATTGAACAATTCTGACCAGTAAAGCCCCGTCTATTGAACCATTCTGACCAGTAAAGCCCAGTCTATTGAACCATTCTGACCAGTAAAGCCCAGTCTATTGAACCATTCTGACCAGTAAAGCCCAGCCTATTGAACCATTCTGACCAGTAAAGCCCAGTCTATGACGTGTCTTAAGATCAGATTGGCCGCAGATTATAATGTAGCAAAATTTGATTCCCCCCCCCACTCCCCACACCCCCCACTCCCCCCAAGCGCTGGCCCTGTCAATGAAATAATGTCGTGGATTCATTTGGAGATGTGTGGAAAGGAAATATCTTGTTTCGTTTGCTTTTTTACTTGGATGGCCTTGGAAATGTGTTTGTTAATTAGAAACGGCAATTACCGGTACCGGTATTGCTCTTGAACTAGCTCATTACTTATTTTCTACCCACGTATGGAAGACAGATTGTGTAAATAAAATGGATATAATAACACCCCACCAGCCACTATTTTATGTTCTTTCAGCTCAAAAATGTTTTATAAGAAATGAGCAACATCAAAATCGTCTGTGTGTGTCTATGAAGCCGCAAATGAAAAATTGAAATACCGGTGTCACTCAGATTGTTTGTCGTGCTAAGACTTAGTATTTTAGCCAAAATATAACTATGGGTAAAACCAGCAGGCAGTTGTTTGATGTTTGTAGCCACCTCAGAGGGAGTAACAAAGCTATTTGTCTTCCTTTAGTGTATCATTTGCCCCAGCAACCAGATATTTTCTGTGATTATAATTATAAGCAAAGTTGCTGACATTCGCGCTGAGCTTGATCGTTTTCATGCACCACCCCATGATTTGCCTCCTTTTCCTTGTCTTACTTCACATTTCGATATTTTAAACCTGTTTCAGAATTTGAGGTCAAAAGTATAATTTTAAAATCTAAACCTACGTCATGTTCTTTGGATCCCATCCCCACCCTCCTGTTGTTTGAGTCATTTGATCATTTGCTCCCAACGATAACCCACATGATAAATGAAAGCTTGTCTTCTGGCACTGTTCCCTCTATTTGGAAGTCAGCTGTCATCAAGCCATTGCTTAAGAAGCCTGGCCTGGATGAAAATAGTTTTAAAAACTATAGACCTGTATCTAACTTGTCATTTTTATCTAAAGTTATTGAAAAACTAGTTCTGAAATAACTTTTTGCTTATTTAATTGACCACTCTCTTCTCAGTTCTAATCAGTCGGCCTATAGACATTTCCACAGCACAGAGACAGCTCTCTTGAGAGTGACCAATGACCTCTTGCTAGCCCTGGACAGTGGTGCTGTCTCCATCCTGATCGTCTTAGACCTCAGTGCGGCCTTAGACACTTTTGACCATGTAATCCTTTTCAAAACCCTTGAAAATTACTTTGGAATGTCTGGTTCAGTTTTGGCTTGGTTTAGGTCGTAACTCTGTTAGAACACAGGCGGTCTCTTTCGATGGCTGTCTCTCAGGCAGGGCTGATATGGTGTACGGAGTGCCACAGGGGTTCGTTTTAGGCCCGGTTCTATTCACATTGTATACCAGACCACTGCTCCTCTTGCTTGGGAGGCATGCTGTTGAGAGCCAGTCATTTGCAGATGACACTCAGCTATACAAGCATACCCATCCCTCTCTTGTCGATTCCGCTGTCCAGACTTTGCGGGGGTGCATTGATGATGTCAAGACATGGGTGACTCTGCAAGTTGAAGCTTAATGATGACAAAACGTAAGCACTCCTCATTCACAATCACACATCATCCTCCACCTCAACTCTTCCCACCTCATTTCAAGTAGGTAACTCCGACATACTGTTTACACCCTCTACTACTACTATATTTGAATCTTCCAACAATATGTCTCTCGATAAACATATCTCTCACATTTGTAGTTCTGCATACACCGCTATCCGTCAGTTCCATCCGCCAATATCTCACAGTTAGCGCTACAAAAACCCTAGTCTGTGCTCTTGTTCTCTCTCGTCTTGCTTATGGCAGCTCTCGTCTGTCAGGTTCACCAAAACATTGCATAGAAAAACTGCAGAAAGTCCAAAACTCAGCTGCTAGGCTAGTTCTAAAGGCAAAAAAACGTGACCACGTCACTCCCTTACTCCACTCCCTTCATTGGCTCCCTATACAGGCACGCATCGACTACAGGTTGTCTGTTCTCAGTCACAACTTTTTCTCGGATTCCTGCCCTTCCTATCTAACCGAACTTCTTTCTGTCTATTCACCCCTTCGACAGCTTCGCTCATCAGCATACACGCGTATTCTGTCCATTCCCAAGACACACACTAAAACATATGGTGAACGATCTTTCTCTTTCTGCGCCACCAAACAATGGAATTCTTTGCCACTACACATCCGCAATATACCAACCACCCAGGCCTTCAAAACTGCACTCAAAATACATCTCTAAACTATACTACCCTGACTGATTTCCCTCCTTTGACCGATAAATGATCTTGTAGTTGTAGGCTGCCGTCCATGGTTTGATTTGTAAAAGTCATGGGGTTCATGCTATTCTTTATTTCACAATTGTACCGGTATTTGATTTTAATGTCAAGATTATGTCTCTTTTGATATTTTTATGTACAGCCCGGTGAGCCCAGCCCTAGGCTGGGGTACCACGCTATAAAAGACCACTAATTATTATTATCTAGTTGAAATTATACCTACTCTGGCATCTGGCTGTCACATAGAACTTTGGTATGCGACATCGAACTTACCCAGCTACCGGTTATTATCTTTCTTGTCAACGCCGACTTTTTAGAACAGTTCATCCTTGAGAATGCTGACAAATGACATTTAACGTAATTCAATGCTCTATTCACAACGTCTTCCTGGTTCCTGCCCTTCCTATCTTGATGTGCTTCACCCCTTCCTTCATCCGCAGCCACGCGTTTTCTTTCTGTTCCCAGGACACGCACTAAAACATTTGGTGAAAGATCTTTCTGTGCCCCAAAACAATGGAATGCTCCCTTACTCTTACACATCCGCAATATATCGACCATCAGAGCCTTCAAATTTCTAAACTGCCCTCAAGACACATCCCTTCAAACTCTAGTACTATTCCGACTCATTCTCACCCCCCCCCCCCTTTTTTTTTTCACTGACCGATAAACAATGCGCAATGCTGCTGGGTCCCGTCCGTGGCTACACAGGGGTTAATTAGTTCTTGGGTGGGCGAGGTCAATATTTTTACACAGCTGTTTTTAAATGAATATATAAATTTATGGAACTATTTTCTTTTTGCTAATTTTCATGTGAAACGCGGTGAGCCAAGCCCTAGGCTGAGGAGCCAAGCCCTAGGCTGAGGAGCCAAGCCCCAGGCTGAGGTACCGCGCTACATAAGAATAAGACCACTTTAATTTTAATAATAATAGGAAGTGGTCAGTGTTAGTGTGTTTTTGGGCCAATTATTGTGCATGAGCCCACGGTAGCATCCAGAAATGGTTGGTTTTCATCAGTGGCAAAGCCGGTACCGGTAATAGGAGTTGAAGGCTGTTCAAATTAAGCTGAACGAAGTGGCTGTTCGCCCCGGACACGCAGCGCCACCATTCGCACCCGGGTCCCATTAGACCAATGCTATTAGGATATCATTTGTGGTACCGGTATTTTATTTTAGTTAAACTGAAGAAGTAAGTTTTCAAACATGTAGTCCAAGTCCATTCAATTAGCTTTCATTTGATACCTCATTTTGTCATATAAACCCAAAAATAATATTTTAAATAGTTTTTTACTCCAACCTCTCACTTCTAGTACCCGGGTGTGAATAGTCGCAGCCTAAGTTAAATGTCCTCGTCTTTGAAGAACTATATTAATGAACCAGACGAAATGGTGACCGAGTCCTCCATCGTCTCTGACACATTCATGCAACTACAACACAACGTTCATGTTAGAAAGTGAGTTCTAGTTCTAAGTAACGGGTAACAGAAAACGTGTGTGAATATCCAACTACATGTAGTGTAGGCCTTTATTTTAATGAAAACAGTGGCCTTTACGGTACCGGTAACTTATGTTTGAACATACCGGTACTCATAGGGGTGGAGTGTTGTTCTTATTTGCCCGAACTACCGGGCTAAGATTACTAACTACTACAACCAGTACCGTACCATGTCTACAGGCTCGAACTCGAACACAGGTGTAGGCCGTTGTGTTGATTACCCTATCATATCATCACTTGGGGCCTGTAGTCAGCCAGGGGTACCGTGCAGAAAATCTAAGAAAACCTTTGACTTACCCAAGATACCCGGCACAGTATTTTAATAGTCAGCAGCCCAGCCGTTTATTATTTATTTAAGTTTAAGTGAAAAAAACCACAACAACCTTACTCGAATCAATAAAATATTCTGCTGTGTGAAACGAGGTAGGACAATAGAATATTTTTATGCCGGTATTGATATAGTTTTGGGGCGTGATATTATATATTGATATTGTGTGAAGCAGCATTTCTAAAGCATTTAATTTTTTTTTCAAAAAAGGAAGAAAAAAAAAAAAAAGGGGGGGGGGGGGAGGAGAGAGAGAAGGGAAGGCCTGTGTCTATGTGTTCAGGCACCAATGAAGTGCATTTCTTGAACACTTGTCCCACATTGTCTGGTGTAGTGGTCCATCATCTTACCCACTCAGTGGTGCACACTACCACCATGATACAGCTGTCAACTCAACAACAGAACAAGGGAGTCAACTTTCAAAGGTTTATTGTAAGATTCATACATCATTAATAATCAAATTAATTTTTTTACAAATCTAAAAATTAAACTGAAGATAATAAACAACTGAACCCAAAAGAAATGAAAATGTCATACAGCATTAGTCCCCACTGGACAGAGAGACCTTGACATTGGGATGACATGCCTACATCACCAGCCAAGCTGATACAATTCTTTCCATTCACTGATCATATTTACATCAACTATCTAAAGGGCTTAGAAAGTCACTCAACTTATCCCTTCATTCATAGCCTTGCTCCTTAGAAGATGAAGAATCATTTGCAACAATGAATTCAGATAATCCTACACACATACTATTCTGTACAACTCTTGGGGCTCTGACAGGCTGGGGGGTGCTCTCGACATTATAAGATACATCAGGTAAAGGAAGATGACCCACTTATGGTAACATATATCTCATGGGTGCATCTTGTTTGAGTAAATTCTACAAATAGTTTAACAATATCTCTGATTACCGATGGAAAAAAATTATGAAAGAAAACTGTCTCTTTGAGAATCACTGAAAGCTTTTCAAACACACTTCTAGAGATCATATATACACAACACGTGTCCGCTATTTACAAGCATACAACCCATACCTTAAATGTACAAGTGTCAGTGATAAATAAATACATTCAACACGCATGCCAGACAACATTATCAGTCAGTGACAGTAATAAAGTATTTTATCAAATACTCAGCCTTGCTAAATTCATGGGTATCCCTAAAAGTGTGAAGAAATTAACATAATGTATTTTCCCGAAGTAAGCGGAAAATGACCAGAATGAAAAATGACAAGTTCTGTTCAAGCTATAGAAAAATTAAAATTATTTGAAAAGATTTGATTATTTGCACAATAACTGTCCTAACACAACAAACGTTATAATATTTCAGCAAAACAATGACCATTATTTGAGCATCATACCCAAAGGAAACAAACCAAAGTATTTAACCAAAAACTTATTAGCAGAAAAACCATACAACTGTCAGAGTCCCTTGAAATCAACATTATTAGGTAATGCAAAATCCAATCATTCGACTTTTCAAACATTTTGTGAGCTCCAGTAATAACCATCTGTACAGTAATGTCTCATGTCTAGATGGTCATTATGGCCTTTAGCATCCAGTCAAGAAGCAGATAGAACAAGATATTTTACTAGAACATGGGCCAATGTTATACCACAAACCGATTTTTAACAGTAGAGCCTGCCTTTCCAGCAGTGTCAGAGTGGGCCTGAAATTGAAAATAGCAAACAAATGTGTAAAAGATGCTACTAAAATAGCCCCACCCAAACCGCCTCTAGAAGTATATAATGATAATTTATTAGGGAAACTAATGCATCAAACTTTTTTTTTTTTTGGGGGGGGGGGAATTGTTGCTAAGTTAATCAAAAACCTTTAAAACAGATAAGCCATAGATAATATAACAGAAAAAAAAAAGGAATACTATGTACCTGGAATATGATAATTTATTAGGGAAACTAATGCATCAAACTTTTTTTTTTTTGGGGGGGGGGGAATTGTTGCTAAGTTAATCAAAAACCTTTAAAACAGATAAGCCATAGATAATATAACAGAAAAGACAAAGGAATACTATGTACCTGGAATCCAATGACAATCTTTGCGGGTACATTTAATGACTCTTTCAATTTTTGACTGAAAAATAATTGTTTTAAAATTTTGAGTTTAAAACATAAAATTTACTTAACCTGTCAATGGGGGACTTAGTATTAAAGCACCTTTCAATATCACTACATATACTTGATAAACTAGATCAGGGTTCTGAAATCTATGTCGTATGTTCCAGAGGTAGCACAGAGCAAATTTTAATGGAAGACAAAAATAACTAAATTAAAACTATAAAAACTGGATCCTACAAACAAGGTAGAATGATATGGATTAATGGGACGATGAATGAATTATAAATTCTCTTATGGCACACCACCAAAAGGTTACAGATCCCCAAGTCAGATAATTGAAAGGTAAACACAGTTCAAGTTAACATTAAATACCTATAGTTTATGATCTGACTAAGGGTTTGCATATCAGTTTCATTGTGGGGAAAATATCAATGGAAGCCTATGACAGAAGGGATTCATTATATTTCTTTTAAGCAAGACATCACATTGCTTGGTAAGTAAGTGTAAGAACCTCTTACATGATCAATGTGAATGACTCGGGTTTATTCCCTACCCCGGGCAGACGGAATCCAAAGCTTTTTATTATATGAGATGAAACAGAATATCATAATCAGATATGTGCCAAGATGCAGTCACGGTCAAGATAAAACTAAAGCATTTAAATATCTTATATACAGGAGGCACTGACATCATAGAGCAAAGAATTGATAAACTGTAGCACTGAATAATATTCCTTAAGATGGTAAAATTTACCCTATTTTCTTTGTAGCTTCTATTTTTGTTGCATCTCTTGTCCAAAGGCCAAGCTTGTCTCCCTTTGTTCTAATATTAACAGTTGCCCCACAAATGTCATCAGAATGTTCATCAAAGCCTTCTCCTATCAGGCACAGTAGCTGAAAATGCAAATACATTTCAAATAAAACTTCCCTGTGTTGTCAGCCTTTGACTGATATGTAAGCTTTAAATCATCCACCAAAAATACACATACAATAATCTGTGTATGCTGCTATATGTTAAACCAGGGGTATTCAAACTTTTTGTAAACAAGGTACCGACTAGTGTTTTCTGACACATCACACTGCTGGGGGTTGGACTATATTTGAGAAAAAATATTAATGAATTGTATGCACAACGTATATTTTAAGTGAAGAAATAAACATATCCAACTTAAACTTAGTATTAAAATGAAAGGGCCAGCTTTTGCCAATCTTCGAGAATATATATCTGTCACTGTTAGCCAGGTTCTTTTAGGGCTGCCAGATGAAATACTCCTGATGGGCCATAGATTAATTAAGATGTGTATACTTACAGTTTCTAACCAGAAGTCATCTAAATGGGTCTGACGCTGAGATTTATTTAGATTAATAAGCCACCTTCCACCTTTTTTATTCTGCGCATCTTCCCACATAGGTTGAATACCAGCCTATAAAAAGTGAGTGAAATATACAGTAAGAAACAACATTTTTAAAGTTATTAAGTGAACAGAAAAACATTTTTTTTTTTAAATGAGATGGATGATCTAAAGAATGCTGAAAGTATCATCGTACCAGTAATTCACTGTACCGTACACATGAAATAAAAAACTTTTTTAGATTATTAAAAGAGCTTACCTTAAACACACTGTAATCACACCCAGTTTGAAGTTTACTAGCAGGTAGTGTATGGTTGTAGAGGCTGTATGTAGATAGAAAAAAAACATTACAAAACTATCTTACAAAAAGAAAAAAATAAATGAATTAGAGCTGTAATGTTTTATTATTATATATTCATAACTCTCTACAACAATATTAAAGCTGGGCACTGACTTATAAAGGTGAAATTTTGCCAATTAGTTTATGAATTATGAAATAATTAGCTATAAAACCTCCCTCTTGAACTGGTCAACCTAAATATACAGCAACAGGTCAGACCAAAATATTCAACAGTGAAAAACCATACACAACAAAACTGATTCCCAATGGCCTTGGATTTATGTCTATAACTATTAGTGGTGTACTGAAAGGTCAAATGAATTTTAATTATGAGGACATCCATAAATATAACACTAGAAAACTAATTGTTAGGAGCTTTACTATCTACCAAATGCTGCTGTTGACAAATACATTTAGTTATTGCCATTATGTACACAAACCTGTAAAGTTTTCACAAAAATATGGCTAAAATATACTACCAGCAACTTCACAGAAATCATAAACAGCTGTAGTAAAACTTACCCCCAAAAGTCTTCAACTGTGTCAAAAGTGGTTATCACCCTCAAATTGTCTTTCCAGTCTCTGCCTTTGTCATTTTTGAAAAACCACATAGCCCATGAATTCTGTAAGGGATGCTTTATAACCATTTCTGGATCCTGTAAAGAGTCATCATCATCCCTCTCCTCATCATCACTGGGTCTGTAGACAGCAATTCTCTATAAAAAAATAAATTTTTATGAGCCAATTATATGCACATTTTAATATAGTCGAATAAGAAGCTTTTTCTTGGCTTAACCAGGGTAACATGCATCTCAGCCTTGTTAAGGTCGAGTTAATTTAATTGAAATCAAGCATTGGCAATCAGAAATGACATTTTCAAAATCCAGGCTATCGATCTACTCCTTTAAAGCGAGAAACTGAATGTGTTGATTCATTACTGATTATTACAATCAAAAGAACTCTTTTTAAAAACATCAATATTTTTTATTCAAGTAGATTAAAGCAAATGCTATTTAATATATGATAATATATGTAAAATAGGCCTACAAAGCCAATGTGAACATAGGCCACAAACAATTACAAATAGGGTTAATTAGATCTTTAAGTGCCAGTGATTTTACATTCTTATAATTCAAAAATATTTCTTCACAACAAAGCACATGTTTATCCTTAAACAGAGAGTATTTCAGAATCACACTTCACAAACTAAAACAAATACCACTTAAGGAATTAAATATTTGTTTATTTGATATTTAAAATCCTCAAAAGTTGAAAACAGGGCATTAGGCACTAGATCATGTTTCACCAAGTCTTTGTTTTCCAGCTCCTCTATCGTTGATGAACCGTAACTTATACACACAGCAAATTTTACCAGTATCCCATTTGACTCGGTATGAGCCCACAGAATGTCAGCATCTAAAATATTCATCATCTTTAGAAGGGCTCAGGCTGCCGATGGTGTTGGAGAGGAATGACTAGTATGGATAGTCTGCCTGTTCTTTGTAGTTCATCAGAGTTGTAACAAGTGTTCACACATGCGCACAAGGAGATATGAATGGTTAAGTCTCCTGTAGGTTGCCAATAGGTGGATATTATTGGTTGAAGGTAGGTGGAGGCTTTAAGTGAATTTTACCAGAAGTGCGTAGAAGCATCTCATTTTTAATAACTGCTTAGTAGTCTTCTTCCTTACATAATTAACTATTTCTCTGACATTTTTTGAAGCTTCCCACGATCCTGCAATTGAAAAAACATGCGGCAGTTTGCAAATTTTCTCAATATGTTTTTATGCTCCATATTTATCACAATAACTCATAACTAAAATCTTAATGATTGAGATGAGCTTATTTACAATAAGCTACTAAGTAAGGTAATATATTTCTTAAGTCAATTTTAAAGATTTCATGAAGCTATTTCAGCCTTAGCACGTGGCTGGAAATATTAGCCATAATATTAATTAAATTGGAAACTAATTTAATACAAATTAATCTAATTAATAGATTTAATAATAATAATCAACAGTGTTAAAGGTACAAAATAAATTATTGCTAATACAGTTTTGCCAACATGGTTACACTCTAACAATTCTCCATGATGGCATGGAATATCACAATCTTTTACTATTAATGTTAAAAAATAAATAAAAAAGGCAGTGTCTACATGTCCTGCCAAATAGTGCGAGAGATATTCTCCGGCGATCATGTCACTGTCACACTTTATTTAACCATTTTTTCAATATACTAGATGGAGCCTGCCAAATATTGGCGACAGAAATGCATGAACTTCCCATGTACTAAAGTTACTTGACAAAACGTGAACTCCAGTTACGCACATTTAAGACGCTGCGAGCGTGCTCTGGCGTATATCTATATATAGCCTGAGTGGTCGTCTTGTTTCTGGCGAATTATATATATTATATATACCAAACAATGGTTCTAGTATTTATTTTGTAGAATTGAACATATTTTTTTCAAGTAAATATCCAGACTATCTTAAATTTGTTCAAGTACCAGAAACTCTGATAGACTATTGGCAGTCATGTGACAAGGCTGACAAATACCTCGCTCAACTTTGTTATAGCCGTCATGCGACTTGGTCGAATATATATTAGCCGGAGGAATATCTCAAGAACTTATCGTCCAGTCGCCGGACATGAAGACACTTCGAAAAAAAAAAGTCATAATAAAATCTTAAGTAAAAATATAATTTATCAAACAGTGTTAATACTTACTTCAATAACTGCTTGAAGTTGAAGCCTTGAACTAAAGAGTTTCTTGACAAAGCCAAGTGGGTTAACACAAGAAAACGTTTACTGTGGACCATGTGGCAGCACAAAAAGTTCTGACAAGGTTACTCATGCCAGAGCTTTGGGGGGGGGGGGGGGGGGAGGAGAGATTGGATACTCTGATTTTATTGGTCAAGAAGTGGTATAACACAGAGCTTCTGATTGGTTTAAATCAGCAAACTATGCAGCTGCACCCCTAAAATTTCTTTGTAATTTTTAGAGGGTTTTGGGGCACCCACGTGAGCTTGTTGGTGCGTAATCCCAAGGCGGTGCCAAATACCCAATTTGTATTGGTCCCTACTTATCAAAACACTTTACTTAATGACACTTTATAGACCTACTCAATCTTGGCAATCTCTTGCTTCAAATGTGACACCAAGATCTAAGCATAGGCGCAGTATCCAGTTTAATAAATTTTAGGCTGACAATGGGCAGTTGGTAGAGAAGTGCCAGGAGAATAATTAGCAATGTGATTGGGGGAGGGGGGCTACTGGCTATGGTTAGAGCCAAGGGTGACATTCACTGACAGTGTCCTAATTACTGCACATGTGTCTTGACACATCGAATGCAAATTTGTTGGCATTATTAGAGATTGCTTAGGCATTGGCCAATACAAAGGTGTTCATCAACTCTGAATCAATCTCAATATTCATAATGTGCTGTTACTCTTTTTCTCTGACATTGATGATTGATTGCAGAAACTGAACTGGTCCATATGCCAACATTTAAATTTTGTGAAAATTTAAGATCTTTTATCCTTTAAGTTTTATGTTAAGTATGGCAAGTATGTAGGCTATATTGTTGGCAAGTAGCAGACCCATATTAGGTAATTCATTGATAACTTAGGCCCACTAGTGACTTTTTTTTTTTAAATACAGAAATGTAGCTAGGCAGCTAGGCCTAGCCCCGGTATACCCCTAGCCCCACTAGTGGCCATCATCAGGTAGCCATTTTTACTTTATAAAGTATATGTTACCAACTTAAATAATTATATGATACCTGCTTCATAAAAGAATTAACCTTACATCCAAGAGTACGGTATTGTGTTGTAAAATTTTTTAACTGAAACAAAAGTCCAAAACTGAAAATAAAACTAAAAGTAGCTTGAAAACACGATAATGTCAGGCCTACCCTCATCATAATGAAACTTTCTGAAAAAGTTTATTGCCTTGTTTTAAAATTGATTGAAAATATTTTTTAATTGATAATTTTAAAGAAATAAGAAACATTAATTTGAAAAAAAAAACTGTTTTATATAACTTATAACATTCCTCTTACTTGTTCAATATCTCTCTCTGCCATGTTGTTCCCTAAATGGAAAAAATTGTGAATGCTCCAGTCTTTTCACCATCTGCTATTTTGAAATTTTAAATAAAATGTAATATTCCTTTATGAAAGTGAAAAATTAATGAAATTATTTTGAGTACTTTTGAAACAAATAAAATTAATATTTAAATATTATTTCTTTAATTTACCAAACCCAAATATTATATCGCTAAAACAAATGTAATTATAAATTGCATCCCATTCCAAATTGGCATATATAGATATTACGCGTCACGACACCGGTCACAGAAAAAAAAAGATAAATTAAAACGAGGCTAGGTTATTTAAGATATATCCAGACATAGTTAACGAAACTAAACATAGTTATTTGCGTTTCAATAATTGTACATGATGGTAAAGAGCAATTATAATAATAAGTTTTTAATATGTATACAATAACTGATATTTAAGATTTATCGTCTATTTTCGGTCTGCCTTTTCTGCTTTATGTCTTTGTTAAATTGATCATAGTGTGGGTACTTAATTTTTTTTAAAAATAATACAACTTCGTACTATTACTATTTTCAGAGTTGTGCATAGTTATATCCTATAATATAGTTTAGAGAAACTATGTTATACGAAGAATACAATACAATTATAAAAATAAAGTACCAAAAAAAAAATAAATAAAAAAAAAAAAATAAGTAAACAAAATCCTAAATTATTAAATTAAAAGATTACTTTCAAAAATAACATTTTTTTTCAGAGTTGTGCATAGTTATATCTTATAATATAGTTTAGAGAAACTATGTTATACGAAGAATAAAATAAAATTATAAAAATAAAGTACCAAAAAAAAAATAAATAAAAAAAAAAAAATAAGTTAACCAAATCCTCAATTATTAAATTAAATGATTTCTTTCAAAAATATCATTTCACGTTACGTAAAAATAATGTTTCATTTTGATTATAACAAGGGGAGGGAGAGACTGCAATCAGATTAAAATTAAACAACCACGGACGTCATTTAAGTAGGGTAGGATGGGACATTCCCCCCCACCCCCCCCCCTCGATTGGTAGTTTTTATTTAAATTGTTATGTTCTGTGGCGCTTCCAGTAATAAACAACTTAAAAAGCCGACCAAGTTTTGGTTTTGCCCCTCTTCCTGAAAAATCCTGAAATGAAGCCTCTGTAAACAACCCCTAAAATTGAGTTTTTCTTATGTGTATTATAATATGTAATATCGAACAATGGGGGTGGGGCTGAAAATCTGACAAAAAATGCACACAATTGACGCATTTATAAGAATCCAAATTAGCCCCCAGCTTGCAACCGCGACTCTTTTTTTATCACCTCTGAGCTATATTAATATTCTAATGACCCAAATGCTTTTACACCGCGTATTTATTTCACCACCTAACAAAACGCACTTCCGATAATAATTTTTTAAAGAATCTCATTAATTGCAGTTATCGGGAATTTTATTTCGTGAAGTTAGTCTCATCCCATTTCCTTCGCATTCCACTTGAAAAACTGGAAAAAACTCATTTTTGTGGGTTGGAATTGGGGCTTAAAATTTGATAAAATGTGTTGTCATCGGCAACGAGTCTATGTTCCAAATTTCAGCTCGAAAGGTTGACGAGAGTGGGTCAATTAGACATCCGCTGATTTTGCCAGACAGCTTCAACGAACAAAAGCGAAGTTAATAAAAAGGATTTAAAAGTGAAAAAAAAAAAGATAAAAATAGCACCTAGCCGTAATGTCCTCTCAGACTGCTAAGAGTTAATTTGATTTAATTTTGTTTTTTACTGTTCTTTGTTCGCCAATGAAGGCTTCTTGCCGACACGTTCGTTGTTTTGTTGTGTCCTTTTTTCAGGTTTTCCCATACTGTGTTTCGCTATTTCCTACGTTTTGATTTTAATAACATCAAAATTTGGGATTTTGTTTTTACTAAAGCAATGTGAAAACTCTATTTTTGTATAAAATATTTTTTTTCCCTTTGCTTTGCTTTTATGTTACTCTGAAAAATCCTTGTTTGTAAATTGTTGCGAAAGGCAGCATCTTTGATTTTGAAAGCTTTGCATCTCTTGACGTTTTAACTAGTAGCATCACTTGGGGTGTGGGGGTACGGGCCGCATCTATTGACACCCTCACACTGGGATGACACCCTTACATGGGGATGGCACCCTCATAGTGGCATGACACCATCACAGGGGGATGACAAACTCCCATGGGATGACACATTCAAAGTGGGATGACTCCTCACAGGGGGGTGACTACCTTACAGGGGGATGACTCCCTCACAGGGGGAATGACTACCTCACAGGGGGATGACTACCTCACTGGAGGATGACTCCCTCACAGGGTGTGACATCAAGTAGAAAAGAGTACATTTGAGGAGCTCGATCATGTTGTTTCATAACAAGTCTAAGTGACCTAAGGAAAGGGTGCGGCTATGACAGTGGCGTAGCTAGGGTTGGTGTCATTGGGCGATTTACCGCCCCTTCCAAGGAAAAACTCTTCAGCCGGTCAAAAAGCCCACTGAATCACAGCACATCGCCGTCACCAATTCATTTCCCGCCTTCATATGGGAGCAGAGGAGTGAGGCAGAGGAGTGAGGCTGAGGAGTGAGGTAGAGGAGTGAGGCAGAGGAGTGAGGCAGACAAGTGAGGCAGAGGAGTGAAGCAGACAAGTGAGTCAGAGGAGTGAGGCAGACAAGTGAGGCAGAGGAATGAAGCAGACAAGTGAGGCTGAGGAGTGAGGCAGAGAAGTGAGACACTGGTGTCGGTCCCCTGGGATGACACTTTTGTGTTTGTGTGTGTGTGTGGGGGGGGGGTGGGGTTGGTTAGCATTTTCTGTCCTCTTCCTATTTTTGATATTGATTATTTTTTATGTTTATTGTGTAAGCTGAAATGTTGTGTAAAACCAGTTGTTAGACATGTTGTGTACAACCAGTTATTGGAAATGCTGTATACAACCAATTATTGGAAATGTTGTGTTCAACCAGTTTTTAGACATGTTTTGTACAACCAGTTGATAGACATGTTGTGTACAACCAGTTGCTAGACATATTGCGCACAACCAGTTGTTAGACATGTTTTGTACAACCACTTGTTACACATGTTTTGTACCACCAGTTGTTAGACATGTTGTGTACAACCAGTTGTTAGACATGTTTTGTACAACCAGTTGTTACACATGTTTTGTACCACCAGTTGTTAGACATGTTGTGTACAACCAGTTATTGGAAATGTTGTGTACAACCAATTTTTCGTGAATTTGGTTACAAACAGTTGCTGGTCATCGATCAAAAGTTTTCCAGCGAGTTACATCCAACTCCACCTATAGGGTTGGTTGTCACACGGTTGAGTGTTGGTTGTCACATACTGTTGGATAGGTTGTCATGAAGTGTTGGGTAGGCTGTCACATAGTCTTGAGTTGTTTGTCTCTAGTGTTCAGTGGGTTGTCAAATCATGTTTGATTTTCTGACTGCAGTTCATGCTAGTGTATTGAGGCAAAATCAAGTCATCAATAAACTGTGTTGGTCAGTTCACTTTTCTGAAAAACAATCTAACATCTAGGCTAATTTTAGAAATATATTATGTCTACAGGGTGATATCTAGGCTAATTTTAGAAATATATTATGTCTACTGTGTAATATCTAGGCTAATTTTAGAAATATATTATGTCTACAGTGTGATATCTAGGCTAATTTTATAAAAATATTTTGTCTACAGTGTAATATCTAGGCTAATTTTAGAAATGCATCATGTCTACAGTGTAATATCTAGGTTAATTTTAGAAATATATCATGTCCACAGTGTAATATCTAGGCTAATTTTAGAAATATATTATGTCCACAGTGTACTATTTAGGCTAATTTTAGAAATAGGCCTAAATATGTCTACAGTGTAATATCTATAGGCTAATTTTAAAAATATATCATGTCTACAGTGTGATATCTACGCTAATTTTAGAAATATATCATGTCTACAGTGTAATATCTAGGCTAATTTTAGAAATATATTATGTCTACAGTGTAATATCTAGGCTGCTTTTAGAAATATGTCATGTCTACAGGGCAACATCTAGGATAATTTTAGAAATATATTATGTCTACAGTGTAATATCTAGGGTAATTTTAGAAATATATTATGTCTACAGTGCAATACCTAGGCTAATTTTAAAAATATATTATGTCTACAGTGTAATATCTAGGCTAATTTTAGAAATATATTATGTCTACAGTGTAACATCTAGGCTAATTTTAGAAATATATTATTTCTACAGGGCAACATCTAGGATAATTTTAGAAATATATTATGTCTACAGTGTAATATCTAGGGTAATTTTAGAAATATATCATGTCTACAGTGTGATATCTAGGGTAATTTTAGGCTAAAAAAATAAGGATAATGAATTATGTTTATTTTCTCTTGTTAAAATTAAATATTCCAAAGTGCGGGGATGACGCTAAAATATTCCAATGAGTAGTGCTTGGCGTATTCCAATGAGTATTGTTTGGTGTATTCCAATGAGTAGTGCTTGGTGTATTCCAATGAGTAGAGCTTGCTGTATTCCAATGAGTAGTGCTTGCTGTATTCCAATGAGTTGTGCTTGGTGTATTCTAATGAGTAGTGCTTGGTGTATCCCAATGAGTAATGCTTGGTGTATTCCAATGAGTAGTGCTTGGTGTATTCCAATGAGTAGTGCTTGGCGTATTCCAATGAGTTGTGCTTGATTTAAAGATATTTATTTGTAGGATATATAATAGGACATTTATTAGTACGTCTAGTATAACAATTAATAGGACATTTAGTAGGACATTTAGTAGGTCATTTAAAATGACATTTAATAGGACATTAATAGGTCATTTACTAGGTCATTTAGTAGGTTATTTAATAGGACATTCAGTAGGTCATTTAATAGGTCATTTCACAGGTCATTTAGTAGGTCATTTAGTAGGATATTCAGTAGTTGCAAAGTCGTAAACACCAGTAAAGCACGCCAATGACCAAGCAATGTTTATTATGAAAAGAACGAACACACCAACATGTTTAAGTTGATAGCAAGAGTTTTGAAAGATTGGCATTGTCTTGACAGCTTCATTACTTCAGTCACACAGCTCAGATTTACGAGGCT